AAAAAATAGTAATTAAATTTAAACACCTAATCAAATTAGAAATTAGCCTTACAAAATTAAAGAGAAGAAATAACATTTTAATAATTATTTTTTTTAATATGTGCTTTTTAACTTACATGTTAAAAATACAATTATTATATTATTTTACGTTAATTAACATCAAAAAACAAAAATTATAAGTAGTTATCTAATTAAAATGATCCATCTAACACTAATAATAAAATTGATAATAATTTTTATATTTTTTGATAATTTATTAATTAATATAAAAATATATAATAATTATACTCTTAAATTATACTTCTAAAAATCCTTAAATAATTGTTAAAAAGCCCACATTTTTCATAATCTAAGAGATATTACCACCATAGATCATACTAGAATTGCAAAGATCTTCTCCCAAATCCTTACAAAAGTTAAAGAACTCCGTGGCAGCAGCTACGGCTATCCACCGTAACCCAGGCCGCCGGACGAAAGACGAAATTCCTAGAAGACCCATGTCTTCTTCCTCATTTTCACCTCATCCACACGTGTCGCCCTGTGATTCCACCTGAAACACAAGGCCAATCCATCCCCCTTCCAGGATTACCTATTTATTGCTTTGACATTGGTAATCTATTCTCGTTCATTTCTTATTTTCTCCTACTACTATATATGTATTTTTTCCGTCAATAAAAAAACTAAAAACCATTTTTTTTTCTACTGATAAAACCCAAAAGTTGGAACTTGGAAGTCTCTCCGCAATCGCAACGACGAATCTTCCAACTCCACTTTCGTAAACTCTGAAACCTTGAAAAGTCAGCGGAAGAGGGATTCACATTTCACAGAGTGGAGCGAAAGAAATCAAGAGATATTTCCGGTGTTTTGACTTGTCAGATTGCTTCTTATCGGTTTTGTGATCATCATGTAAGTATTAATTCGAGGGGGAGTGTTTTCTCTGAGAAAACAGAATCAAATTCGACTTTTTTAGTCTGGATTCTGATTTCCCATTATTCTTTTCTTGGTTTCTTTGTTCATCTTCATCGTTGCTAATATTGTTGGTTTAGTTTTTGTTGAAAGATTGGTTCTTTTCTTTTGTTTGCTTAAATGGGTCAATATCAGGATATTGGGTGTGAAATGGGTGGTTGAAAGATTCCTGGGTTTCTTTTCTTAAATCTTCAATTTTCTTCCCAAACAAATAAAGTATTATTAGGGTTCTAATTCTTTTTCAAGGTTTCTGATAATTGAAAGTGGCATTTTTCTCTTAAAATTTGCTTAATTGAATTTTATATTGACTGTAGAGATCAAGGAAGAAGTGAGATCATTATCAACGAAGAGAGAAGAAGAAATTTAGCAATTTTATAGTTCTGACTTCTGAGCATTTGGTATTGTTATTTATATCGATTTTTTGGATTCTCTCTTCGTTGGAAAGGGAGAATCTAACAAGGGTCCTGCTAGCTTTGCATCAGTTTTGTGAGGCTTTTGATATCTGACAAATGAATGTGGTTGGCAGAGTTGGGAGTCTAATTACACAGGGTGTGTACTCTGTTGCTACCCCTTTCCATCCCTTTGGTGGGGCTATTGATGTGATTGTTGTTCGGCAGCAAGATGGGACATTTCGGAGCACACCTTGGTATGTAAGGTTTGGTAAGTTTCAGGGTGTTCTGAAAGGGGCAGAGAAGATTGTCCGCATAGAAGTTAATGATGTAGAAGCTGATTTCCACATGTATCTTGATAACTCTGGTGAAGCATATTTTATAACGGAGGTTGATTACAGCACAGGAAATGAGACAGATGGGGTTAGACGAGGTGGTGGGGATAAGGATAACAACTTTGATGCGGATGGCAATCATAATAAGAGCATTGGTGATGATTGTAGGCTTGAACATAGCATCTCAGATTCCGGGGTTGCTCAATTGCGAGAACAATGTGAATCCTCAGGTGCTATCTCTCTTGCAAGGTCAGAATCTGATACTCGGTTTTATGACTTTCATGATGACCAGTCCTCTCTGGAGGGTTCACTTAGTTTATCAGAATATGGGTCTAATCGATATGACAATGACTGTTTTGGGGAAGCACAAGGTCCAGAGTCGGAAGTTGTTCTGGTGAGTGTGGATGGTCATATACTGACAGCGCCTGTCTTAGCATCAGAACAGCATGCTGAAAATGTGCAATTGAGCACGCCTCAGTTCCATCTCGGCCCAGGTAAAGGAACTGACTTCTGTGAGGACAATGAGGAGTTTAGTTCGGGTGAGAATGAGTGGGCTGTTGATTATATTGGTAAGCTCAATTCTTCAACTGCTAAAGATAAATCGAGTGATGTTTACAGCGTGAATGATGTTCCCAATGCTTTAAGGCATGAGCTGCATGTTTGTGAAGGAGAGGGTGAACATGCTTGTCAAACTGAAGATTCTCCAAGCATTGTTGATGAAGCAAGTAATCTCCATGATCATGTAAATGTCGATGATGCATCTGCTTGTAATAAGAATGACAATGTTCCTGAGAGCTGCTTGGAACCATTGGAATTAGACATGCATGGTGAAGATGCCAATGTTGAAGTAAAATTTAGAACTTTGGAGGACCAGAGTATGGAAGAGAAGCCTCTCAAGAGTCAACCAGATGATGATGAAAGTCAGGATGGGCCTATTTTTCAATCAATAAGTAATGAAGCATTTTCTCTTCCCAATACTTCTGATTCCCCTGACAATAATTGGTCTCCTGATTTACATCTTGTGGTTGGATCAGTTGAAACAAAAGTGTTAGATGTGAATAATACTGGATCTGACTCTGTTTCTCTTTGTTCTGATCTTAATGATCCCAATTCCAAGGCTGAACGGCTTAGTTTGTCAGTAGAGATGGAGGGGATGGATGTTTGCACTGAGGAACCCACCCCTGAGAATGACTGCAGCAGAAGTCAGATTGTGGAAACCGAAACAACTTCTTGCAAGGAGATGCAAACACATTCAAACATGAGTAAGGACCTTTTCTGCCTTGACGTTTAACCATTCTCCTTTATTTTCTTGATTCTAATGAGTATTTCTCTCTAATTTATTTTAAATTTACAGGGTTTGAGATCTCTCTCTGTGGAAATGAATTACGTGCTGGTATGGGAATGAAAGCTGCTGCAGAGGTCTTTGATGCACACCGCATATCAGTGGAGGAATATGAAAATTCTGCAGCTTCAGTCATTAAGAATAAAAATCTAGTTTTTAGATTTGGAGAGAGGTACTTGACGTGGGACAAAGCTGCTCCTATTGTACTTGGAATGGCTGCGTTTGGTCTAGATTTACCTGTTGAGCCCAAAGATGCAATTCCTGTGGAACAGGATGAAACACCAAACTACAAGGAAGATGATCCTTTTGGCACTCCATCTTCATCTAGCCGCAGATGGAGGCTATGGTCTATTCCATTTCGAAGGGTCAAAACTCTTGAGCACAGTGCCAGTAATGCATCCAGTGAGGAGATATTTGTTGATACTGAATCTGGTTTACAGAACTCTCAATTAGAATCAACTCCAGCTTCTAGTGGAAGAATTGAGACTCCTTGCAAGCAACTTATTAGGACCAATGTTCCCACCAGTGATCAGATAGCTTCTTTAAATCTGAAAGATGGTCAAAATATTGTAACTTTCAGATTCTGTACCAGGGTTCTAGGTACACAAAAGGTATTTCTGTCACCTAGTGTTCAAATCTTCCATCATGTATGTGGCATATTTGTTTTTCCCAATTTTTATCCACTAAATCCTGTTCGTCTTGAAAAGGTTGATGCACATATTTACTTGTGGAAGTGGAATGATCGTATTGTGATTTCGGATGTTGATGGAACAATTACCAGGTAAGGGTTTTGATAACTTTTTAGTTAAGATTGTATGACATGATTATTGTATGCTGCTAGTGTATGCCATAGATCTGTGTTTTAAACATGAAAGCTGATTACCAAACAATTATTAAGTTCATATATTTATTGGAAAATTTGTCAGTGCTGGGAACAATGTAATTAAGTGGGGTCCGGTTCTTGTTTACAAATTACAATCTGCCCCCCCCCCTTCCCTTTCTGTCCATAGCATGAATGAAGCAATAGTACATACTTATTCTATATTGCTTGATCGTAATTGTCTGTAATGTTTCAGACATTCTAGGGTTTCCACATTTAGGGTCCATCTCACACATCTATGACTCTTGTTGTGATGCATAAAGTGATAGGTGACATTGATATTGTGTATACATGTTCTGTTTTGGAGTTGATGAACTATATTTGGAACTAACAACAAAAGAAGAAAATGAACATTGAGTTTTATTTGAAGAGAGATCTTATCATCCATCCATTAGAATGTTTCATTGTAGAGTAACTATTGAGTATCACTTACCAAATTGATTTGCTGTAAGATCTTTGATATCTTTCCATTATCTTGGTGATCTATTTCAGGTCTGATGTGCTAGGTCAATTCATGCCTTTAGTTGGAAGAGATTGGTCACAGTCAGGTGTAGCTGCACTTTTCTCAGCTATTAAGGTATGCCTATTCTCTGATGTTGCCGACACCATCATTAAGTAAATAAACTCATTTTGAATGAGTTTGGTGGGGCCTTTTTCACACCTGATGTTGCAATATTATGCATTTTGTCAATTATTGCATTAAGTAACCAAATTTGAACTGCATGTTGTATTTTCACAAACAAACTTGGTTTTTGGTCGTTTGATTAAAGTATTGGAGCATTTACCACAGGAGAATGGGTATCAGCTACTTTTTCTGAGTGCACGTGCCATTGTTCAAGCATATCTGACCAGGAATTTTCTGTTCAACTTGAAACAGGTACAGGAATGACCTTGGTTATGCTGTTTTCATCTATCTATCTCTACACTTGGGTTTCTTTGCTTATATATTTATTCAAGCTATTTGAGCTTGTTGAATTGACATGTTACAGTTTCTTGCTTGGTGAAGTGGTTTGACCTAAAATTATTAGATTCTGATTTTTTCACACAAACAATCATCAACAAATTCTGGGTCTAATAAGTGTGTCTGACTGATTATTCTTTTGCATCTGCAGGATGGAAAAACTTTACCTAATGGACCTGTTGTTATTTCACCTGATGGATTATTCCCCTCACTTTATCGTGAAGGTGAGATTTGCCTTTTGGGGCATTGTTGTTGCCCCTATGTTGTGATTCATTGTTTTTGACCCTTTAAATAAAATCTATTACATTTTGACACTATATCTACGGTTACCTCTTTTTCCCTTCGTTCTGATAGTTCCAACTTCATTTGTGATTCATTTTTTTCTTTCTACCTTCCTTGATGGCAGTGATAAGAAGAGCACCACATGAATTCAAAATAGCATGTTTAGAGGTAAATTTCAGAACGCCAAGCCATGGTATTGGAAGCATTGGTCTCATTCTTTTCAACTTTAATTTTTATATCTTATAACATTCATGAATTGCAGGATATTAGAAAACTCTTCCCTTCTGATTACAATCCGTTCTATGCGGGCTTTGGCAACAGAGACACTGATGAGCTCAGTTACCAGAAAATTGGGATCCCAAAGGGCAAAATATTCATAATTAACCCAAGGGTATTTATGTTGTTAAGTTGTTCTTGTTGTGCTTAGTTTTCCTGGAAATGAGGTAAAAGTTAAATGCATGATTGCAAACCCAGTCATCTAAAGAACTTGACTTAATATCGGCAGGGTGAAGTGGCCATTTGTCAGCATCGGATCGATGTAAAGTCATACACATCCTTACATACTCTCGTCAATGACATGTTTCCCCCAACTTCCCTTGTTGAGCAGGTAAAGAATAGTGAATGCATTCCTCACTTTTCAACATGGAGAAGAAGAAAATGGAAATATGATCTAATTGCCTATTTTGCTGCATCTGCTGTGTTGTCTGTGCAGGAAGATTATAACTCCTGGAACTTCTGGAAACTACCATTGCAGGACATTAGTTTATAAATTTGGCTGCTTTAGTTACCAACAATATGTAGAGAAAGATAACATTGCCTTTTTTTACTGTTCCAGTGTTACCTTTCTTCCACACTCAATTCTTCATTTTTATCCATTATATGGTCTGTAACTGTAACTCTGTAAGCATTCATACTGTCCTGGAAATAAGTCAAGTCAATAAAAGAACTCTTTTATCTTTTAAAGCTGCTTGTCCTTGGACACAACATTGATTGTTTTTGGTTTTGTATTCTTTCAATTTTGATATTCAATTCTGAAAGGAAATGCTATTTATTCTGAAGACACATTCTCAATAATTATTTTAGAATTGAAAATTCCAAACTCGGATCAAATTTGATTAAAATCTTTGAAATGAAAAGAAGGAAAAATAAGTGGGCAAAAAAGTGATTCTCATTCTATATTTTTTACGAGGCCAAAAAGAGAGCTATATATGTGTGTGTATATATATTCTATGAAAAAGAAATTCTATCTCCCAAATTTTTATTTGCAAGTCAAAATTTATTTTAGGAAATTCAATTTTAGAGCAAATCAAATTTTATTGAAAAAAATTAAAATACCCTACTTTTAAAGGTTGGAAAAAAAATATTTTTAAAGCAAGGATGATATTGATCTTTCTTTCATGATACTTTTAAAAATAATTTAGTTTTAGAGTGTTTCTCAACATATCTTTTTGCTTGTAAATAAGGTTACTGTCATATTTTAAATAATTAATATTACATTTTTTTAATGTGATTATTTATTATACATTTTTATTATTTTTTTTGTCAAAATTCCATATATTTTTATTTTTTAATAAATTAAAAATATAAAATTAATAACTAAAAATGTAACAATAACATCACCTCTTTTTTTTTTTTCAAGTTCCGTTGATGATAAATACATCTCTCAAATTACTCAATCAATATATATATATATATATATATATTTTGGTGGAAATATGGAAATATATATAACAAAACACAGATACAGTCAAGTCCGGGGAAAGTCTATTCCCCTTACATCAGCGTCCAAATACAAGCCAAGGCCCTGTGGGCAATTAACAAAACAAACAAACCCCGTAACAGTATGGCCTATAGCAACTAGATGATCAGCACACTGATTAGCCTCTCTAAATATATGACGAAGACGAACGTGAGGGATTTGAGCCATCAGTTCCCTGCATTCCAAAATCATGGTATGAAATGGATGATTAACAGAATCATAATTAGAAAGTAACTTAAAAGACAATCAAGGAGTCCATCTCCACAATAATGTTTTGAATACCCCAATTCCTTGCCACAATCAAGCCATCCCGAACACCCCAAAATTCAGCACCAAGAGCGGAGGTAATGCCTATATTTCTGGCAAAACCAACCACCCATCTAGCCAATGAGTTCCTAATCAATCCACCACAAGCAGCAGCCCCAGAAGTTCTCAATGAAGAGCCATCTGTGTTTAACTTGAAATAACCCTCAGGGGGTTTGTCCCATTTGATATTGTTGCAAACCAAGGAGCCATTACCAGTTGTAGGATAGGGAGAAGTGGAGATGAACTCCATCGCCCTTTCTTTAATTAAGATTTTTGCCCGGTTGGGGTCATAACTCTGTGGCCGATATATTTTCTCATTCCTCTGCAGCCAAATGATCCAGATGAC